CCCGATTTCCATATTTGTGCAGCCTAAAAATAATAACACATTTTTAAACAAATAAAAGTGAAAAAAGATTGTGTGAGTAAAAAATATTGTTTAAACACATTTTATGTGTTAAACTAATTTTGTACTTTTTTTGTTTAAATTCTTTATCTTTTTTGGTAATGATTTCATCATTACTAGTATCGTCTAAATCTAAAAGAATCATTTTACAATATCCATTTCTATAAACATAATGCATTTACCTATAGGTTATAATTATGTACTAAAAACTTACTTACCTTGAAAACCGACTCTCTGGATTATTAATTAAGTCCTGGAAGATATATTTTTAACTTAAATCGTTATTTTACACTTAAGATGTTAGAACAAAAGCGAAACTGCGTAACAAATAACATATAAGAAGTATTAAAGATCATCAAGTCTGAACATCTATGACTGCGCGAGATATTGCAAGGTTGCCAAATTTCGGAGGTAACAAATGTACGTATACATGACGGAGGTAACTTTGGTGTGGCTGAATCTTATTAAAAAGCGACACTAGCGCCAATTCATATATGATAGAACTAAAAATTCCTTTTTAAGAGACTGGGGGGTCAAAGTGACCTCCGAAATATTCTTGCACAGATTGATTACTGACACTCCCCCAATGTCAAAAATATGGTTAAACACTGTGACCTTCGGTCATCTATGACTGTGACCTCCGAATTTGGAGGTCAGCGTCATATATGAGGTCACAACGTATGAAGGGTCTCCGTTTTGGAGGTGACAATGTACCCTTTATCAATATATATATATATATATATATATATATATATATATATGTAGGTATACTTTTTCTCTCAATGTACGAATGTGGCGCAAAAATAAATATCCAAACACCGATGGCATAAAAAAATCACGACATGATTTTCATTTCTCACGCAGTGACATCCGGATGATGTCCGTATGAATAAAATTTCGTACCCTTGCGAAAAAAATGCCTAAATTTTGGGCATTAATGCCTAACTTTTAGGCATTAATGCCTAAAAAGTTAGACATGATTTTGAGTACCTAACTTAGGCATTATGCTTAACTTGGGATAATGCCTAACTTAGGCATTATGCTTAACTTAAGAATAATGCCTAACTTAGGCATTATGCTTAACTTGGGAATAATAGGCATTATGCCTAATCGATTCAATAAAACTATTCATTTAATAAAAGGGGTGTATTTTTGTATGTCGGTATATTTATTTAAAAAAAATGAGTAGCCAAGCGCTTTTGTAATTTATTCTAATGACATCATCCGGGCTATAGCCCTGAAAAGTAAGTAAACATTAGTTTCAATAGGTGGGTTAAAATTTTTTACTTGTCAAGGCGAGCTTACATTTATATGTGGCAGTGAACATAAGTTGAAAAACATATAGCCCTGAAGGGAATTTAACAACAAGTTTCACATTTTATTTTTTACAGACTATTCCACTCATTACTTTTTGGACCAATCAGATTTCAGAAAACGAGTGGTTTTTTCAGTTTTGCAGCGATAAAACTACTATTCAGGTGAAAAAACCACTCGTTTATACGAGTTGCATAACAACCAATTGGTTGCTATAATAAAAATAATTGTCACTGTTGACGTTTTTAATTTTAAAATTAAAATGTTAAAAAATATGCGTTTTGGTCCAAAAAATCATACAGAAATTGAATCAGCAGTTAAAAATATTCGTGAAATAGTCTTGCCGAATACCACTCGTGATAAAATTTTCCCTGAAAAAATTTTTGATTTTTATTTACTCAAGATTTTTCCTTGGAAATTTCGCTCGTGGCATTAACTTCAAACCACTCGCCTAGCGGCTCGTGGTCTTAAAAATTAATGCCACTTGCGAAATTTCCAAGAAAAAAACATTCGTATAAAAATCAAAAATTTTATCGGTAAAATTTTACCACTAGTGGTATTATATACGAAAAAACACGTTAATTTTGACGTTTAACTAGTGCCAACTTCATAATCTTAAAATTAGCGGGTAATTTAAATTAACTTAACTAATAAAATCAATTAAATACAGTAGTTACAACCAAAGATAATATTATTATTATCTTTGGTTACAACTCAAAAAGGTTAATTAAAAAATAAGCAATGGTGGGGGGAAGACGGAATCAATAAATGTTGTTTTTCATCATCAATCATCAAATGCTTATAGGAAATGTTTAAATAATGGTTTAAATTTATATTTAAATTAATTTGTGAGTTTAAGCATTGTTCAGGTTTATTTTTGAATGAGTTGGATATTTCCAAATCTTCAAATAGGTCTAGTTTAAGGCTGTATAAGATCTAGATTATGTATGATTCTTGTCTTCGATGCTGGGCGGAAGGAGTGGGAGTTGTATTTAATGTGATGTCCGAAGGAGGATGAGCTTGGTCTTTGAATATGTTCTTTTACTTATTACTGTCCGTTCAGGCTAAGTTGAGCGGTCTAAGGAATGTCACCCAGTTCATCATCTCTATGTACAGGCACAATAAAATACATGTATTTCGGTGTCTGCTCTGTACGAACAAACGACAAGCCGCGGCACTGATAAATCATCTTCTTATTACCAAAATCTCGCGACGATTCGATATTTAATTTAATCAACGGCCATATGATCCCCACCAAAGCGCTCAACTTAGCCTGAACGGACTGTACATATTAGACAAAAAAGTAGCATCTACCAGTCATATATATATATATAGGTAATATATATATATTATATATGCCCAAAATAGGTATTTAATCTCAACACATTAAATCATTGAATTCATAAACCAAATTTTTGAGCAATTAATCCTAACTCTTTGGCATTTATGCTAAATTATTGGGCATTAATACCCAAGTTAGGCATTCAATCCTAACTCTTAGGCATTTATGCTGAACTGTTGGGCATAAATGTCCAAGTTAGGCATTCAATCCTAACTCTTAGGCATTTATGCTGAACTGTTGGGCATAAATGTCCAAGTTAGGCATTCAATCCTAACTCTTAGGCATTTATGCTGAACTGAATGGTGGGGGGAAGACGGAATCAATAAATGTTGTTTTTCATCATCAATCATCAAATGCTTATAGGAAATGTTTAAATAATGGTTTAAATTTATATTTAAATTAATTTGTGAGTTTAAGCATTGTTCAGGTTTATTTTTGAATGAGTTGGATATTTCCAAATCTTCAAATAGGTCTAGTTTAAGGCTGTATAAGATCTAGGTTATGTATGATTCTTGCCCAGGGTTGGGTCAGTAGAAAACCTTAGGTAATTTACCTTGGTAGAAAAGGGTAGAAAACTTGTTTTCGACTTGCGTCGAAAACCTATAGGGTTTTCTACCTACGTAAATTACCTTATTCGACCTTCTCCTTCCACTTCTCTATAATTGATAAAAATTTGCCCTCATGCCAAAAATTATGTTGGGGTCTCCCAACCAAACGCGGCCCTTTTTTTTCCACCATAATAATGTTAAAAAACTCCAAATAACTTCAAATTTATGGTAGGTGTCTGATTTTTCACAACATTTAACAAATCATAATAAACAACAAACTTGCATAACCTCACATTTTTTGATATTTGACAGTATTCTACTTTTTTACGTTTTCTACCGTCGAAAACGTCGAAAAAGGTTTTCTACATGTCGAAAACAAAAATGTAGGTAGATACCCAACCCTGTTCTTGCCTTCAATGCTGGGCGGAAGGAGTGGGAGTTGTATTTAATGTGATGTCCGAAGGAGGATGAGCTTGGTCTTTGAATATGTTCTTTTACTTATTACATATTAGACAAAAAAGTAGCATCTACCAGTCATATATAATATATATATTATATATGCCCAAAATAGGTATTTAATCTCAACACATTAAATCATTGAATTCACAAACCAAATTTTTGAGCAATTAATCCTAACTCTTTGGCATTTATGCTAAATTATTGGGCATTAATACCCAAGTTAGGCATTCAATCCTAACTCTTAGGCATTTATGCTGAACTGTTGGGCATAAATGTCCAAGTTAGGCATTCAATCCTAACTCTTAGGCATTTAAATGCATAATTATGCTGAACTGTTGGGCATAAATGCCCAAGTTAGGCATTCAATCCTAACTCTTAGGCATTTATGCTTAACAGTTAGGCATAAATGCCCAAGTTAGGCATTCAATCCTAACTGTTAGGCATTTATGCTTAACTGTTGGGCATAAATGCCCAAGTTAGGCATATATGCTTAACTTTTCAGCATTCATTCCTAATTTTTGGCATATATGCCTAAGTTAGGCATTAATGCCCAAAATTTAGGCATTTTTTTCGCAAGGGTATATATACGAACGTCACGTCGTGATTTTCACAAATTTTATTCATATTCAAATCATATATGATTTTCATTTGTTTCATTTTCATTTATTATTACTCGGTGACTTCCGTATGATATCAGTATGAATAAAATTTGTGAAAATCACGACGTGATGTTCGTATGAATATCACGAATGTTGTCCGGGTAATATTTGCAAAGAAAATTTCAAGAACAAGCCAGAATATTCGGGAGTTTTAGGGAATATTCCTGGAATGGTTTGCAGATTGCGGTCTGGGCAGTACGGTGGTTGTGTTGGAGTGTGGGTTAAGGTGGATCGATTTTTTAAAATTTTTAAATGCTCTATCCGTAGGGTCGTACCTATATAAACCCCTTGATTTTTTTACTGTTTAAGAAGAGGGGGTTTAGGAAATAATTACCTATTTAACCTTAAGTTTTACAAAAGGATGTGTGAAAAAATATCTCCAGATCAACCTTTAGGCACTCTTCGGAAAATAGGTATTTTAAAAATTTTGTTTTATTTCATAAAACTACCTAGCTAGGTATGTGCTTTTTTTAAACTTTATTTTATTTTTTAAATTTATAGTAATTAATGGAATTACCGTATCTGCCCTCTTAAATGCGAGTGCGATGACAACTTTCCAAATTTACCGCCATTTTCTGCTCCCATGATAGGCAACTAAACGCGAGCTCACACGGAGGAAATGGAATTTTCATTTCAATATAGGTATAAATGAAGAAAAACAAAGAAAACAATCAGTATTTACAGTTGTAATAAAATAGGGTAGCTTTTAAAGTTAAATATATTTTTAAACATATAATTAATTTTAAATCTAGCTTAAAACTTCTGTTTTGGGAACATTGGCAACGCCGCGAGAGTTGAGGCCATCAGGTCGTTGGAGTCAGCTGTTCGGGTGACAGAAGCACGATGGCATCAGGGTGTTGTGGAACAAAAAAACAAAAACTCAATAACTGTTCGGATATTTCCAAGTGCAATGGTAGTGCTCCAATGACGAACGGCACTAGCAATGGGATGGTGACCCTGCCAGAAATGTGCTTCTTTTGTTTTGACGTCCTGTACTGTCATTTGTACAACCTGACTCCACCGAAAAATCCAAGTTTTAGCAATGATGCCTAGTGAGTACATTTAAAATGTTTAAACATTTTGTATGTTTACAGCAAAATATAAAAATTACGTTTTCCTTGCTAATTAATTTAATGTTGAGAAGGTCATTCAACTTCATTTTAACTTTTCTTTGTTTTAAAACCAATGTACCCAAAGCTAGCTGCGATATCTTTGTTTTCGCCATTAACAATACATTTGCTTTTGTAAAAAAAGTATGTTCATAATTTGTTAAAGCATGGATGCAGTGTAGACTTGTTATTGGATGTAGTCCAATATTAAAATAAGTTTATGCAACTGCATGCAGAATATCAAACTCATGAAAAAGAAAAAAAATGCATTGCATTTAGGTAATTAATTTTGTATTGTTCCATAGGTAAACAAAACAAAGAGAATAATTAACAGGGGTTATTTTAAGTGTAAAAAAAATCTTATAATAAAATATGGTAGGTAGGTACAATTTTCCAAACACCTTGTGCCTAGGGTTGCCACCTTTTAATCTTGGGGTTGGAGGGCATGGACATTTTTTAAAAGCCCGCTTCAAAAAATTTTACCAAAAAAAAGGGGCCGTTGCCAAAATCAAAACAAGTTCAACAGAAATGACCAAGGACCGATCCCTTGCAATATTAACTTTATTAACTAGAACATTAAACTAATATGTTGCAGTCAGATAAAAATAATAACATACCTAGTAAATAACCCAGACTGCAATGAAGGTGCGAAAATATTCCAGGAATATGCCCTATAATCTAGGAATAATCCGCTTCATTCTAGGAATATTTATTGGGAATATTCCATAGATTGATCCTCTAAAACTTCCAAGCACCCTTGCAATATTAACTTTATTAACTAGAACATTAAACTAATATGTTGCAGTCAGATAAAAATAATAACATACCTAGTAAATAACCCAGACTGCAATGAAGGTGCGAAAATATTCCAGAAATATGCCCTATAATCTAGGAATAATCCGCTTCATTCTAAGAATATTTATTGGGAATATTCCATAGATTGATCCTCTAAAACTTCCAAGCACCCTTGCAATATTAACTTTATTAACTAGAACATTAAACTAATATGTTGCAGTCAGATAAAAATAATAACATACATAGTAAATAACCCAGACTGCAATGAAGGTGCGAAAATATTCCAGGAATATGCCCTATAATCTAGGAATAATCCGCTTTATTCTAGGAATATTTATTGGGAATATTCCATAGAATGATCCTCTAAAACCTCCAAGCACCATCTTAGAACATTCCCACTGGGAATTTTCCAGTGAATATTCATAACGCATTTTAAAAAGCACTAGGCAACCCACTATACAGATACCGGCCAACATCATTTTTTATTGTTTGCAAGCCTGTTATTTTATTGGTTTACCTAGAAAAATGTTTAGAGCACAATAAAATACATAGAAAGGAGGACATATTTTATTTAAAAGAGGACGAAGGACGTGATCTTGTCAAAAGAGGACTGTCCTCCACAAAGGAGGACAGGTGGCAACCCTACTTGTGCCTATATAATTGCCAGAAAATGACAGATATTTATAAAAAATCATCACCAAATCCAACTGAATAGGTACTTTGAATTATTTTTAAAGATTATAAAAAATTGAAAATAAAATCTTCAAAAATTTGTGACAATACCTACCTAGAAAATTTTTATTTAAAATATACGAAATAATAATATCAAAATCAAGGATTAAAAAAATGTTTTTCTACAAGAGTGCAAAAAGTTACTACTTTATGCATGCTCAACACTGAAAAGTACATGTGTAAGGAAAGTAGCAACTTTTTCCCCCTTGAAGAAAAAAAAGTTTTTCTACAAATGGGTAGGTATAGATTCCTTATAGCTTATAGTATAGATTCCATATAGCTTATTGTGTAAAAATTAAGTTTTTATTTTTTTCTCACAAAAATACCTACTCCATTATAGAAAAATGTTTATTTATTGTCAACCCAGATAGCACAAGAGGTACCCAGGACATCCATTTCGGGTCCCACTGGGACTCCCACATAGGTCCGAACGTCCCAGACCTATATTGGAAGTTTTGGGTACGTCCAGTTTCTTACTTATTTGGGAAAATTAAAGCGGATTTCCACCCTGCTTAAAAGATCGGGCGCTACCGGATTCAATATGTGCATTTGTCCATGTTTATTTTTTCCGGATACGGCCCGATAGAAAATGTATAAGAAATTACCTATAGACACACCATAACTTTTACATTTTCCCTATTGGGACCAATAGCAAATAACTCAATGAAGGATGTATAGGGATATTCCTATAGAACAACCATAAAACATTTGACAAAATTTTATTAAAACCTATGGGGTCCTATGGGGGAAAAACTAATTTCTACATTTATGTGTATTTTCCCCATTGAAACCAATAGCAAATAAATCAAGGGTGGAGCCCTATGGAACAACCATAAATCCCAACTATGGGTCCTATACATACCGATACAACCTATATAAACACCATACATTCCAATACAAATATCTATCAGTTTGAGTAGGGTCTCTATGGGGTATTTTAAGCAGGGCAGTACTTCATGTGCTATCTGGGAAATTAAGTAAGTTAATGCAATGAGGCACTAAAAAAAAGCCAAATTGTATTAAGTAAGTTAATTTAACAATATAAACTAGTTATTTGTGTCATAAGGCTGAGAAGTGAGTCTTTGTGCTGAGCTCTCATCTTCAAGGCACAGTTTTATTTGAATAGATAAAATATACTTACAATTATAATATGATTATTAAAAGTATAAAGTGAGGTTAGATATCTTCAGATGTGTCAGCAGTTTTATTGGTCCTAACGGCTCTTTTACTGACTAGGATGTAAAAATTTTTACCTAAAATTATTTTTATAGCCTGGGAGATAATTAAATACTTTGGTAGTAAGCGGTGACAATAATAAAGCTTAAATTATAGAATGCCTAAAGATGAACATGTTTTCTAAAATGGAGTATGTATTTTTGAGAGAATAAAATTAAAAAATGTATACCCTGTCCTGGAATCAAACCCAAGCCTTGTGGGTGAGAGTCAGGTTTAAAACATTTAACATTAAAAACATTTTTTATAACATAAGTACATTAAACAATAAATATATCACAGATAATATTAGAAGTCTCCTGCTCAACATTTAAATTTAGGTTGGCTCAAGGGGCGCCGGTATCATCCATGAAGTAGTCCAGATGCCAAAGATGCTAATCATACTTGTCCAAACCACATGCTTATATAATGTTTGTATGGCACCTTTCCTGCCTGTACGCTCCGCGCTTATGGGAATCCCAGAGAATTGTTAAAAAAATTCTCCATCACCATTATTTAAAAAGATATGAGAGTGTGAATGTTGAGTTTTTAAATAATATGTTACCCTGTGTTTATATTGTTTCAAGTCCTATTTTATGTTTTAAGAACATGCGTTTTACTTTATTTATTATTTTAAATAACACTGCAACACAAAAAATTAACTGGGATCAAATCTGAAAAAATCGAATCTAGGCAACCCCCAAAACAAATCCTTTAAGGGGTTTTACCAGTTTAGCTCGAATAATGGAGATATCTCCATTATTCGAGCTAAACTAGCAAAACCCCTTTAAAGATTAGTTTTGGGGGTTGCATAGATTCGATTTTTCCACATTTCATCCCAGTTCAAATTGTAAGGTCAAAATTTGCCGCACAGTGTAATATTCTGGGATTCCTGGGGTGCGTGACTTCTGGGACACCCTGTATATGTTAACTCATAAATTTTTCGGTGTTCTAATGGGTGTTCTACTGGGCGTTTAAAAGAGTTTAATATTAAACTTGACAATTTTTCGGATTTACACCTTGATAATTAAAAATTCAAAATTTTTTGTTTAACAGTATTTTTCTACCAAAATAAGTTTTTTGTCTCGCGATTTGTTGCATTCTTTAAAGTACCGCACGGGTACGTATAAAAATTTAAATAGGTATTTACAAATTATTAATTTATAGTTTCATAACAAAATTTATTTTTATAAAATAGTTTATTTATTTTTAAATATTATTTTAAATAAAAACAAAAAAGAACAAAATTTTATAAAATAATATACTTATAAAATGAATGTAAAAAATTTCCAATACGTGTTTTTTATTATTTTTGTTTCTCACTTTAAATGTCAAATTAAGCATCATATTTATATCATAATTGTATTGCCTGAACCTACTTAATCATTGATTTGTGTGCAACCACTGAAAATAATTAAATTTAAACAAGTGTATTTTTATTTTATTAAATCTGAAAAGTTTTTAGTTAAAACTAATAAAATAATTGAGATGCCATTTTACTCAATAATTATTATAATAGTTAAAAAGCAGGTTATTTAATTTTAAAATATTTTATTGATTGCAAGTTTTATTTTTTTTATGTAATAGCCTTAGATCTAACATAATTCACAACTGTTAACCCTAGGAGGAACAAAAGGTGGGTTTATCATAAGTAATTATAAAATTAATTTTGATTTTTAGTCCTTTGTTTGTGACGTGGAAAATAGGACGAGAAAAAAGGCTCAGGGGATGCATTGGCACTTTCAACCCGATGAATCTCCAAAGTGGATTACGCGAATATGCACTAACCAGCGCTTGTAAGGATTCCCGATTCAGCCCGGTATGTATTCGTGATATGGAATGAGGAAATCGCTATAACAACTAAATAAATAAAAGGGTGAAAAGCAGGTACTTATTAACAAAACCTACTGACCACTATACTTTTTACTTATAACATTTTCGGTTACGCTCTGTCAAAAAAGAACTTTTGAAGGGCGCCTGAAGAGCTCTAAATTGGAGTAGCTATACTGTTGGCGATTTTCTCATTTTATATCGCATTTATTTTTTAAATTGTTTATTTTAATAATTGTTAAAAATTTAGGTAACTCGTGATGATTTTCCAAAGTTAAGTGTGTCGGTTTCTATATTAAGACATTTTGAGGAAGCAGGCGACTACTTGGATTGGGAAGTTGGAATTCATGGTATCCGGATCGAGTTTTTAAATGAAAAGGGAAATAAAAGGACTGCCACTTATTTGCCTGAAGTGGCTGCTGAACAAGGTGTGCAAGGTTTTAATTTATAATACATTTGTAATGGAATATATCTTTAAGTTTATTGGGATGTTCACCGAAATGGTTTGTTGTTATAAACTATCACATAAAAATATTAGTATAAAATAACGCTTTATCGCATTAAAAAGAAAAAAGTAATGAAATTGACTTAAAAATATTTTGTGGTATTTATAAACTTGTCACTTCTTAATATTTAATTACGTTTCTTAGAGAAGCAGTTACTTTTAATCGCCCCACACTTTTTAGCATATTCATTAAACATTTTGAATTAACAAGTTTATTAATAGCACAAAATATCATATACAAGTAAATTACATTATTTTATACTTTTTAGTGCTAAACCAGTTTTTTTTTAAATTATTATTTATTTTTTAGTCTTAAAATTAAGTTGATTATTTTTTTAGTTACATCCGCCATATTGAAATTAGAATGACGCCACATATTCTGTTTACAAACCATTTTATGTGATACTCATGTAAAGGGCACATACTTCCACACATATACTGCTTATTTGTCATAATAATATTATTTATTTACAAAATAAATATATATTAATTACAATGAACCTACGAGCCCTAACCACAAAATGTTCGGACACTTCATAATTTATACAGAAATATTTTTCGTGAATACTATCTCAAAATTATTAGAAGTTATGAAAAATTCAGCTTATTTTGGCATATACCCCTCGAAGCGATTTTTATTTTTAAAAAGTTTACCTTTTATTTTTAGCTTTTAAAAAAAGGGTAACTTTTTAACTTTTTTTTGTATGAGTAAAAAAAGTTATAAATGGGCCCATTAAAAAGAACATAAAATATTATACAAACCCTGAAAATTTGGTAAAAATTGTATAAATAATAAGAAAGTTATAACGATATATATATCTGCAAAATCTCCCGTTTCCTAAGAAAATTGCAAAAACTCTTTAAAAATAGCATTTTTAAATTACTTATACTTTTTTATAACTTATTTATTTTTTACCAAATTTTCAGGGTTTGTATAATATTTTATGCTCTTTTTAATGGGCCCATTTATAACTTTCTTTACTCATACAAAAAAAAGTTTAAAAGTTAGCCTTTTTTTAAAAGCTAAAAATAAAAGGTAAACTTTTTAAAAATAAAAATCGCTTCGAGGGGTATATGCTAAAATGAGCTCAATTTTTCATAACCTCTAATAATTTTGAGATAGTATTCACGAAAAATATTTCTGTATAAATTATAAAGTGTCCGAACATTTTGTGGTTAGGGCTCGTATAATAACAACTAGGAAAAAATATTGTCAAGAATTTCATGTAACTTTAGAAAATTTTACTGTTGGTAATCTGCCAAAGTATAGGGTTCCATATCAATTAAATATTCCAATACCTCTTAAAACTAGTGAATTTGGAAACAGAATGGATATATTATTATTATTATATAGCAATACACACTTAAAAACAGCCTTTTTCATAAATAGTTAGACGTTGTCTAGGATATTTTAAATCAAGAGTGCGTTCCGAATTTAATCTTAAACCGACAAACAGGTGCATATTTTAACTAACAAACATAAGAATTTCATACACATACAACGCTCTCACTGTAAGTAAACTATGGCAAGCCGTTTTAGTTTTTATTACACATGGCTATCAAGTCTCATTTTAATTCGACTTGATTTCTATGAGACATTAGATAATTGAAATTATATGTATTTTCCTTAAGGGAAATTACATTTTTATTACAATTTCAAAATTGAATGCATATTTTCTTTACAAATAGTAAAAATAATGCATTTGTTGTATTTATTTCCATTGGTTTTTTAAATATTGTCCTTAACGTGAAAGCAATTTTCGTTAACAGAAATTGTATTAAATTTACTAATTATAATTTTAATGCAAATTATTTTTAGTGTTTTAGTTTTTTGGAGCAATTTTATGACACATTAAAAGGATTTTATTTTAATTCAATTTTATTAAAGTAGCTTCTGACTTGGATACAATGTTACATTTTATTTATGTTAGACCAGGCTAAGTATTAAAATAAAACGTATTAAAATTACTATTACGAATATAAATGCATTTGTCCTTAAAGATATAGTTTTATATTTTCCTAAATGGACGGCTTTCTGCAGAATGGGACCAACCCACACCATTATGAAACTGAGAAAAAAACTATCAAAGATTTTAATAATTTTAAAATTACCTGTTAATTTTATGCCGATTTTGGACTTACGGAGGTTTAAGGGATATAATTTAATAATTTCATCAGGTGGATTTTGTGATGTTATGTGTAAGGGTGACGAAAAAAATGGGCTTTTGTTGGTTGGTTCCTTTCTGCAATTTATGAAAACTACTATCTGATGTATGTATGTATTTAAAGAAAAGCGACAATTATTTATTTCCAAACAAAATACAACTGATATTACTATTATAATGGTAATATGAATTAATTTTGATTCAATTTGAAATTCGTTCACATCATCTTCCAACCCCACCTCATCTTGTAAGCTACCAAAAAAATGCATCAAGACTTTATATTTTGCAGAAGCAGGAAATCTTTAAAGACTTTGGTAGTGGGTCTACCAGCCTGCTTTTTTACAAAAAAGATCCAACCCACTTGCAGATACTGTACAGATTCTAATTTTGGATTAGTAATCCACACTATTATTGAATGTTGGTTGGTTCAATGATTAATAGATTTCACTACACTTGCATTTTGGCTATGACCTATTTTGCAGATAAATTATACATACTTAATTAGTTCATAGGCTAAATATCTCGATTTTTTTGGTTTTGTGGGTTGGTTCCTTTCTGCAGAAAGGCGTCCAAATGACATAAAAATTAAAAACATTTTAATTTGAAATACTCTTTGAAATGTTGTTCCCGAATAAAATTTAGAACCGCAATACATAGAGTCTAACAATATTTAGAGAATCAGAAAATAACATCGAATTAAAATGAGACTTAATGATCATGTGTACAAAAAATAGCTCGAATTACTTTTATTTTTAACTAAACAAAAATAAACTTCTATTTCCGTTAAGGGAAATTACAATTCCCTTAACGAAAATGTTATTTCCCTTAACGGAAATGCTATTTCCCTTAACAGAAATTACATTTCCCTTAAGAGAAATTAGTGGCGCTATCTGTGGTGAAGATGCCGAAGGTTCCACCGCTTACAGAGTTCTGCCAACTTTGGTTGGGATGCCAGAATCTTTCATTTTGTTTGAATGCAACAAATATGACACAATTAACAATAATGAATAATATTACTACTACAGTTTGCTATTTACTACTTCTTTTCGTTTTAATATCCTTTATTAGAAACGTTAAAACACACCTTACACATGCGGCGTTGCCACACAACATTCGATTCGAATGATGCGATTCCAAAGTCGATCGGTGTCATCGCGATTCGATTCGGAGAGTTTGGTTTTCTCGAGTAGTACCCATAATTATTAATATTACTATTATTATAGCATTATCAATACAAATTTTGTGACAATTTTCTGAAAATTCGATAATTTTGTCAATAATTTGTCGATGATTTGTCGATAATTTCACTTTTTACATCTGGCAACACTGGTGGGTGATATTTTGTGGGTGGATGTGAACAGGTGTAACGGTTGGTTTTTAAATTAAAAAGGTAACAATCAAAAAAATTCTTTTTACTAATAAATCTTTTGTAAAATCACAGTGCAATAATTTCATTTTGTAGAATTTTGATAAAATTAACTATTTGAACTTCAGCCGTCCTCTCATAGATGGCGCCAATTTCCCTTAACGGAAATGCTATTTCCCTTAAGGGAAATACAATTTCTCTTAACAAAAATGATATTTCCCTTAAGGGAAATTGCATTTCCGTTAACGGAAATGCATTTAAATTCTTAATTATAATAAAAACTACTTTCCTTAACGAAATTTGCATTAAAATTACTATTTGTCATAAAAATAATTTTTATTATTATTTCAAATAAAAATGAAATGTTTTAGTATTTTTATTACAATTTCGAATGTAAATCATCCTCTACTTTTCAATTTAATGTACCCAAAATTTTAATGCTTATTAAAAAAGGAATTTTATTTATAATTTGTAATTAAAATGTAATTTCCCTTAAGGAAAATACATATAATTTCAATTATCTAATGTCTCATGGAAATCAAGTCGAATTAAAATGGGACTTGATAGCCATGTGTAATAAAAACTAAAACGGCTTGCCATAGTAAACTGCCCTCTTTTAAGCACTCTGATACAATGATGAACTTTATTCTCTACATCTAAGTTTTTTGGTTAGCTCCTGAGAATTTTTGCACCAGTCTTAGTTTTCATCAATATTCAAGCCCAAAAATTTAATATTCGCGGAAATTTTTAACACACAGTTATTTAAGGGTTTAACACACAGTTATTTAAGGTTTTAACACACAGTTATTTAAGGTTACAGGAGTTTTTGTTTTAAATAATATACAATTTGTTTTCTGTTCATTCAAAATAAGGCGGTTTTCAATGAACCAATCACTAACCTGTCCGATATACGTATTGATTTCAATTGTAACACTACCCGGACAACAATCGGGATTTCCTGGTGAAGTCATGATGATATCACAACGTGTTTTTTTTATCACGCTGTGATATTCTGAGTGCATACACATGCTTCATCACAGTGATATCATGTAGAACTCACGGTGTGATATTTGCGAATATTTTCTTGGATTTAAATTAATTATATATAGTTTATTTAAATCAAAGAAAATATTGAATGTTAAACTGTTCATTCAATTGTTAACATACTTTTTCTTTCAATGTACAAATGTTTCGCAAAAATGAATATCCAAACACCGATGGCATAAAAAATCTTGTCGTGATTTTTTATGACCAAACACCGATGGCATAAAAAATCATGTCGTGATTTTTTATGCCATCGGTGTTTGGATATTTATTTTTGCCCCACATTCGTACATTGAGAGAAAAAGTATTCCTACATATATGGATATTGAATCAACAGTTTTTGTGATT